TTCCTCTCAAGGAGCAAATTTATAAATTTATTTGAACTGTTTACGAAACTTAATATTTGGAGCTTCGCTGTCGATCCGGAAACCACAGTAGAACTGAATGCGTAAACTTGCTGAACACTGATATAATCTGAATAATGTTTTCCTGTCATTAATACATTTACAGTATTATGGGAATGTTTGATTAATTGCTTTTCAGGGGTGGAACAGACACGACGCGTTGCATCCACATAAGCTAAACCAACTCTTGTCTGAAATTTTGCGTTCATCAACAATATCTGAATTGAACAACTGTCGATCGGGGATTCGGAGGGAACGGGCGTTTTATTTTCAGCAGAACCCAGAAAATGCAGGACACACAGACGCGAACATCCCAGAAAAGAACAGGCAATCTTCGGAGACAAATTCTACGCAGGAAAATAAGATTCCAAGAGGGACGCTTGGGGCTTGAATTTCGACAGGGAAAACTCCGGCGACGGCATAAAAACATGCTTGAGGAGACTCGAGATATTAATGGCATCGACGCCTCACCCGGGAACCATGCGAGGCTGAATTCACATGGACTCGTCTAAAATTCGTTCTGGGTACTTCTTCGATCCTCCAGTCATTCGCTTGGAATCATAACATTTGATGAGCTCGCAGAAACCATTTATCATCCTGACATTTACTCAATTCCTCAACATTTGATCATGAATTGAAATACCGCTGATTGCCATCGCTGCCTGCTTATGATCGGGAAGCCGGGATTGTTCAATGCCTACAAAATTTACGACGGTGCTACCAATGCATTCACTGAGAATATTCGTTGACGCAAAGAAGGTTGGAAATTTCTTGATCCGATGGGAATGAACTGTTGAAATGATGGACTTCGAAAATGTTAGGAAATCATTCAGTAATAAAGAATGGTAATACTGTACCGAAAACTTCGGTCACAAAATTGAGCAGGTCTCAATTTAAAATACATACAGTATCAGGTATAACGGTTCTATAAAAATCTCACACGGAAATTAGCTTGGAAGTTAGAACAGCGGGAAATTTGCCATCACTCAACCCACATAAAGGGGAACGAAGATGAAAAAAAAAAGAGTTGGTATCGCCGTTCCCGGAGGCACATGTCACCCCCTACAAGATTCCGGTCACGATCTCGGTAGGCATATACTGTATATCAAGAATGGTCGCCGTTACCCCATCGAAACCGACAAAAAAATTTACCGCAATACTGTACTCCACTTCGATCAATGTGGGATCGTCTGCCGAGGCGTCAAAATCATAAATGGCGCGGAATACCATTAAAAATTCTCCAGCTTCGTTCTACGGTGCGAAGCAAGTCCAGTAAAATCGAACGGATTCCTCATGCATTCCGCCATGTTTTTATATCTCAATACTGCGTGCGATAAATGACAAGAAGATCTGCGTTTGAATGACTCATACGTCGTGTACTCGTAATCGTGTCGAAAACTAAAGTAGCCCACTGATGGGTGATCAGCCAAAATCTTGGAAGCGAAGACCAAAGGTACTTTGGCATGCTTCAGCTCAAATTATCGTTTCCGTCTCGTACGTCAGACACACCCTCAGCTTTCGAATCTATCACTTCCCGAGCTCATTTTTCATATATCCTTGACGAAGGGCACCTGAGGAGGCCATCACATTGGTCATTAGTCACGGGTTTCTAGGGACCAAGAAAGATGAGAATATCACATCATCGGTATTCCCCAGGGATGAACTTTTTTCTGGTTGACGATATTACTCTTGTGATAACACAGGATGCCCAGAACATGGAAGATTCCATCATCTAAGAACGGATCTCAAAGGCTATGTGAAGCGCCGTAACAATTCGAAATTTCTGATGCAGGTTGAAAAATATTCTCCCACGTGATTGATGGAACAAGCGCTCGAAAAATCGCGGGTCTTTCGAAATCATAAATTAATCTCAACTTCATTCGTCACACCGTCAACGCACTCCAAATTTTCATTCGGGACAGCTAGATCTTTATAGCAGACCGAAGTAGAAATCAGGAACTCAAAGGATTCAAGATATGAGCACCCGATTCAGAACGGAAGTCCCAATCACAGGGATCGTTTTGACTGAGTGAAAAACATAATGCAGTGAGAAGATACGCAATTGAATGGCATTTTTCTTTCTGCCGAGTTGCGTCGAACAGCATGATGCAGTTGGATAAAATTGCGATCAATACTGTACTTCCATCCGATCAGGCCATCACAGAGTACGGCAATAATTCAACAGGATTACATTTCGAACAGCAATCGACAGAAAAATGTAAGAAAAGAGACAAAAAGACATATCTTACCGGCGAAGTGCGATACACTGTTCAAAATTTCAAGGACCATCTCGCAGGCAGGTCAGCAATTGACGACAGCCATACAGAAAAGCCTGAATAGCGGTATGAGAAACTCAAGACTCGCACCCTTTTCCAATTTTGGACACGATATTCATTTGATTTACACGTCCATGCCGAATGTCTTCCCAAATCTAAATAATAATCGATCACTGATCACAGTGAGTCAAAATTACAGAAAGCACGGATCCACTCTCTGAGCTGCGCCGGTAAATTTCGTTTCAATGTATTCTGAAATAGGAGCTCAACGAAATAAATGTTTGACATGCAAAAACGTGCACACTGATTTCATTTCTGATTTTTGGGAATACGCCTGACATGAAACGACTTCCATTACGAAGGACCAAGTGTTGTTCGAAAAAATATACTAAAACCTGCAGACATTTCTGAGAAAAATTATCATTCCTCCTAGAGAATGGTCTTCTCAATGAAAAAAAACTTTCAAATCAATTTCACCGTGGCATCCCTATAGCTCTAATAAAATAATTTCTGAAATACAGAAAATTCCGAAATTATTCGAATGATAACATTAACTGGAAAACCTAGTTCCTCGTCGATGCAGCTGAACGAAAAAGCTGTACTCCGTCAGGAGAAACGATTTATCGTATTCAAAAAGCGAGTGGGAGATGGGAAGAAAAGCTTCCTCGCAGATCCCGTGATTTATTCAGCCGAGAAAGATATCGGGAACGCCTACAACTCACGGTAACACTCGGAAATGTTGTAAGCAGCAGACGCTGCTCACATGGCGGCAGAGTGCATCTGACTGAAAGCGAGACCGGATCTGTGCCTCGGTTAAGGTTTAGATTTCCTTTTCGAGTATACCACAGGCCCGCGCGCAATAACACGCTAGTTCAGGGGTATAAGCGCGGCACATGGAACGGAGTTTCCCTACCATGACCGCTTCCACTTTCCATCGAAAATGTTTCTTGCGTCTCGATCATCTGGATGGCGCGAACTCGTGCTGAAATTGTCTAAGCCTCTGAGGCAGTTGAGACCTGTTCAATCACTACGGCTGGATGTTCGTTCAGTTCGATTTTCCAAACGAATTATGTTCAGCTGTGCAGTGATTCTTTCAGCCACAAACACACAGAAACGTCAACAAAAGTTTCACGTGTTTCTGTGTAAATTTTAAGACACGTCACATGGACCGCAGAGAACAGCCGGTCACGTTCTTTTTCTTTTTGTCGAGCTATGGAACACCTCCAAAATGTACTGTATCAATCGTTACCCTGGGACAAACCCTGAAAAGCAAATTTATTCGCAGGAAACAATGTTACATGTAACTCAACACGACAAGAGATACAGTGCAACATTTACTCATGATTTCAAGATTCTTCAACTCGGAAAATTAGCAACCAGCGAATCTCATGAATACAAGCATTAAAAGTTTAGAACTCAACTCAGAAAAAAAGCTGGCTGAAACCTACTATGGTTCGTTGCAGGAGTTCTTTTTTTTCGCAGGCACGCGCGTACATTTTGGCCAATCCTACCTCAGTAAATCCATTCTAAGCTTTTATTAGTACACCAATGCAAGCTCAGACTGCTCAAGCGATAAGATCCCTGAAATGCTGAAATAATTAACCACGGGTAAGCGCGGAAAAACCTCGTAACATATTAAGTATATACGCGCGCAACGTACTTATCTCTCGTCAACTACGTAAAGCATAAAACGACTCCACATGGGGACAACTGAAGAATACGTCATCTCTTGCGAGTTAAAATCAGAACGAACTGGACATGATAGACAAACTTCAAGCACGAGACATTATGTGCCAAATGTTCATCTGCAACGCTGAGCAACGCGAATCACGTTACACCGTAGGCACAAGCTTCCCTCGGATCTTGATACACGTTATCGTAGCGCTGCCGAAGCATTGAAGGTATGTCGTATGTGGCATTTCCCAGCTTTCGCAAGAATAACTTCTACAACAATCTTGCGATGAAAAAAAAATGTCAGTAGGTATCATGAAAATACTGACCAGGTCCACGGACTGCCGTAGAAATTTACCAGCTAATTATACATGTATACGTACATGATGAATTAAATTTTCTCAAGAGTTTTCACAGGACGATTTTACGTTTAGATAAATTATGTGCACGTTTTTATTGGAAAACCACAGCACCAGTGAATAAGGTTACAAAGATCCACAGATGTAAGAGTGCTAAAAAGTTGATTCAAGTACTGTACAGTAGCCAGGAAAAAAGCAATAACAGTTCAAGTAGCGGCCATGCATTTCAGCTCAAATCGCAGTTCAAATCAAGCTAATAACCCTTGTATCAGATACTGTACGTGGTTCTCTTCTACTAAGGCCACAATTTACGATGCACATTAAACAATCTTCAAAAGAAAGCCGTGAAATGTTTTCATGAAATCATACGTCAATTATGCCTATTAAGAGGTATTCTGGAAGTTAAGTTCAAATTCATTTGAAGTTCATTCAACAAATCATACATGGTGAAAACGATATTCTAGGAACAGTGGACACTTTCATTGGGAGCTTGCAATAGTAACTTTCACTACGAATTGCTGTTGCATATTATCTTCTAAAATAGGTATTCCTTTCATCCATTCCATTTTGAGTTCATTCCGGGATTCCTCAAAATGGCCGAGCCAATAAGAAAATCTAGTTGAAGAGGGTCGGAGTTCTCGAACATGTGCTGCGAAAAAATCTGCCAATATTTTACGGAATGCATTGCAAATTTGTTAACGAGACTGATGCCAGCAGAAAAAATATTTTCAATCCTTGGTGACACAATCAATTTTGATTCGTTTTAGATCAGGTTATATTTAGAATTTGTGCATCGCACAGAAAAACCGATGAATTATAATTCCTTCCCTCTGCTTTTTTACATGACATTTCGCAAATTCGGAAAAATTTCTCAAGCATAACTATAAACCGGATGTTTCACTATGATCTTCATGCATACAGCTGTTATACAATGAAAAGGATTTATCCATAAGCACCGATTCCCAAACTCAGCTGGGCTGACGTACTGTACAGTATTCTACCGTATTTTGATCAAGTGGAAGTTTTACGTTGTGCATACGAGAATTAGAACACAGGTTTTTCCTAGGCTTCGATTACCTTGATAACTTTTAACTTTAGAATAAAATGCTCCGAATTTTTGCTCCAAATTTTCCAAGGAAAACAAGCAGTCTCTCAGACATCGATGCATTCTGCGAGCACCATGTTTCTTCAGATACATCGGAATCGCGAATACCCACGACCGTTAGTGACATCTACTAAACGGATTTGTTCATCAGCCCCCAGGAACTTTAAAATAAAAGAAACTTCGGAGCATCAGTTTGCGAAGTTCAAAGCGCATGCCCCGCCCCTAGCCGCTTCCCAGGAGCATTTAATAACGAGCAGGAGAGCAATACAATCGGATATTGATAAGAAAATTTCAAATTCCCGTAGGCATCCGAAGAAGAGGAGGGTTCGAACAACCACCCTTTCGCATCTGGCAACCCACGTAAGGATCGCAACATTCCGTCCAGAGGAAAAACCCCGTAGATGCGTGGACAGCAGGAGTCAAAATGAGTGAATATTTATATTTCCTTCCAAATGCAGCAGAATACTCCCGAGTCAAAATATAACAAAATTTGGTATGATGAACACAACGCGTCAAAAGAACAGGAAGAAGGGAGCCCGGTGTGAGTAGTGTGACGGAAGAAGTGCTGCCAGAAGATAATCAAAATCTGCCGTGAATGAAAACCCCAGGACAGAGGGTTGATATTAAGGCGGCACGGAGCGCTGGAACAAGGACAAATGTCCTTGACATATGCCGGGAAGATGACGCTTTGGGAAGGTCACCGACGTGAATTTCCTCGAACATCCCAGCATTTAGCCGAACGCGCAACGGTTTCTCACACTAATATACGCAAAATAAAACGACAAAAAACCATTTAATTTTTCCTCAAGGGCGAAAGGAACACATTTTGACAACTACATCACGAGTACTTCTGCGTTACACAGGCGTAAAAAGAATTAGTGATATCATTAACTTTCTGAGGATTAAGAAAATACTGCGCTGCAACAAAAAAAGGGAGACGATTACAAATAATGTGTTTTGCGTCATGCTTGATATTCCCCCAAGAGAAAATATTCAATGCAATCTGTTAATGTTCACAAGCATGAAGACTTATTTTCAAAGCATGCGAAAAAAATATTACCTTTAACATTTAGAACAAAAACATTCATGAGAGATTAAAAAAAAATACCGATAAAACTATAAAGAGAAATATGACTCACGTCCAGTCCCCTTGAGGAACTCTTCAGCCATGACGCTGTCATCCTCAACTTTGTCGTCGCTCAACATTTTCGTTGGAAGGAGAATGAAGTAAACGCGGCGAAGTGTTAAACCACTTTATTCAGGAGGGACACGGGCAACCAGTTCTTCCTTATTTCTGAAAAACGAACCCAGAACATCAGTCTAGAACACCTCATGTAGGACAGGTCGTACTTCATCGAAAAGTAATACCTTAATCTATGCTAGCTCTAAAAACACACAAGCACAAGTGAACGAAAAAGCTCAAAATAAATTCAGGCATGATCGAAAAATAAACCGAAAACAATCCCCGAACACAAATGACAACGGCAGTCAGAAACGAACGGGTATTATATCTAGATCCAATGATGATGTTAATGCCAACATCATTAACCGTATGAAGAAATAGGCAAAACAACGATTCGAAATATTGTAACAGGATCAAAATCAAGCACTTCTGACTTCCCGAGCTGGAAACCTGATCAATGCGTGCATTTTTACGATATTCTACGTCTTGCTGTTGGCTAGAAATCTTTCCTCGCGTAGTTGATTGAACAAACATTTTCGGCGAAGAATAGACTGCAGGGAGTACAGCAGACGCGATTTGTCGGCGCCGAATATTTTAATCGACTAGAGGAATCTCATTCTACGCGTTCCACAGTTCAAATACGTAACGAAGCCCTTCTTTCGAAAGCGCGTTCTTCCACATACGCTAACATAGACATATCCGAACGTTCAAATGAACAGATGAACAATCCGAAATCCTCATCGAAAGCTTCAACGGATACTCCCTGCCGAAATATTTCATCACATGGTAAGGCAGTTTCTCGCGGGTAACCCACGACCACGTTCCCACTGCTTACTTCCGAATCGTACGACGGCATGATCCAACATTTCACGTAATGGCGACGACATAGGAGAACATTCTGAAACGTAGGAAAGGTGACGATAACCGAAAGTAAGGGGTAGAGCTCTTGCGTGCTACATCCGCGGTGATTCTGGGCAAATTCGCAACCTGAATACAGCAACGACCATTCCCGAAAACAAAAGGTCGCGCGTTTCACGAATGCCACTCAGGTGTCGCTACAAATGTCTGCGGCATTTCTTCTGGAATCCCGGAGGATATATACTGTATATATATACATACAAAAACCTTTGGATGAATTCTTCTCATTTCAAGTACGTATCAACGTATGCATTGGACATCTAGTAGATTCAAAATAGAATCGAGTCCGGAGTACGTGAGTGTATCACGGGGTGGGATAAAGAAATAGAAAGACGTGAAAAGAGATATTGGTAGGAGGAAGAAAAACCATTGCCAAAAAGATTGTTCGTACATCAGTAACATCACATCCAGATGAATGCGGTCAGTATGGGAACATATGAGGATCTCAGGGGATGCGGTTTAACCATCATATCTGCAATGAAAACATGTTCTCAGGAAAATAATTGTGCTGATATGGTGTCATATAACCAATACTGTATATTAAAGCCGAGACACTTTTCCTTGAAAAATAGGCTGCGCTGATGACTGCTGTTAAAATTAGACATATGCGAGAACTGCGACACAAATTCAAAGTTACATTCTAGAAAAAATTAAACATTAGTTTAGCTGAATCCCACATAAATTCCAGACACAATTGGTGTGCATAGATAATGTTAGAATGTTGAAATCATGTTTCTATCGTTTAAAATCCCACTTCAAACTTTAACAAGTGATTTTCAAGTTGTGGAAAAAAATATTCTAAATCTGGGTAAAATATATTCAATTTATAGTCATTTTCTTCAATTGATTAAATCAATGACATGCGCAAAATAATTTTACAGACCACTTTTCACAAGGAAGAAATGCAAGAAAAAAGTCAGCAATTTCATGAAGATAATCAAGCTGGTATATGTTCCTTCAAGTTTGGAGCAAGTCACAAAAAATCATCCAATTGTAGGGAAAAAAACGTGAATCATTCAAGGTGAATTACCTCTCATCAGAAGAAAGTCCTTCAGATCTGTAATTTCAGAAGATTTTCATGAAGAAGGCCCCTTGCATATTCCATCAGGCACTTTCCAAGTCAGTAGACAACGATTGATCCGTCAGTCCCGTAATCTTCATTAGGAAGAAGACGAGAAACTGATCAAAGGGGTTTGTGAAGAATTTAGATCATCTAGAGAATTCTACATTTTAGTCGAGCCACCATTAATTCAGNAGACAACGATTGATCCGTCAGTCCCGTAATCTTCATTAGGAAGAAGACGAGAAACTGATCAAAGGGGTTTGTGAAGAATTTAGATCATCTAGAGAATTCTACATTTTAGTCGAGCCACCATTAATTCAGTGGAATAATAAGAGTATTTTACAGTAATTACGTTCTTGAACACGAATCGATATTTTAAAAGCAAATCGGGAGAGTTCCACATGATACAGACAGATGGCAGCTTTAAATTTCACACTATTACTGTAGATTGTTCACCGTGCAGAACAATTGCAACGAATCTTGCTGATTGTGGCCACACATTTTCAAAACGGCACGGAGTACACAGTGTTGTGTACAATACACTTTTCCTAGAGACAGGAAAAAAATTGAAAGCAATTCTTGAATAAAATGCACCAAATTCGTTTAACCCTCAATTGTATTCCGAGTTTCAAAACATCAACACCAGGTATAAATTATTCCAAGCAAACATCACAGCATTTAGGAAATCCAGTCTATAACTCAAATGGACATCAAGTGTTGATGTCACCAGCAATTGCAGGCCAACAGCAACTCATCTACATTCAGAATTAAAGGGAATTTTGCTATAAATCCATCATTATGGCTCAAAGTTCAACGACGCTTCGATCTATGAAAAATATATCACAGCAATCCGAAGAAAATTTCAATGGAAGTCAAAAGTGAACCTTTACAAGTGAAAATAACGAAAACTTACAGCGCATGCTTCACCGCCACAAATCACGAAGGCAAGTGTAAAACATTCATATTGGCACAGGTACGGTCGCGATCAGCGTGGAAAACTCTTCGAAGGAAATAGTCGTTAGAGAAATTCTTCACTTGAGACTGCATGCAAATGCGTCCCAAACTCCGGTGTTCTGCGCAGGCCGCAGTTCAATTCTGAGCTCCTCGTTGTGACACGCAGCACAGCGTATCACAGACGGGAAAACTTTCCCCGAGGCAATCAAAACCGCACGGAACTCTTTCAGCACTTCCGGTGGAAAATGTCGCACGGACAAGTCCAGGAACGGACCTTTATGTCTCTCCGCTATACACCTGGCTACAACAGCAGCCTCTTCGACAGACATTACGGTCCCTTTGATTGAAAAATACGTCAACTGCGGCAGTCCAAGCAGAAGAGTTGACAAAAAAATATGCGACAATGATTTTTGTCCAAGACCGTCCACGACTTGCAGACGGTTGACCGTCAAAGCTTTCAGATCCAACTGCTTCAATGATTTTGCTATCACTTTTGAGGCTTTCTCGGAGTTTTCAATTTGCGCCGACCAATTCGAAATGGTCAAACGCCTCAAGTTGGAGAGTTTGCTACCAAGACTTTGAAAAAAGTTGATAATTGTCTTCTCCCCAATCTTGCATACAGGGTCATTACCACGCTTCAAACTCGCATTCAAAGATGTCAGTTTGGCTAGGGGGGATAAAAACGGTATCAGATCTGACGCCTGCAGGCTCACTTGTCCGCGAGAAGTCATCATTATCACTTGACAGCCGGACAGATTCAAGAAGGCGACTTCACACTCAGGATATGGCTGAAGACCCTTAGATAAAGTTTCCAGCAATGAATCATATTTTCCTTTTTCGGGATCTTCCACGGAGACGAATATCTTGCATCCAGCCAAATTCAGATCTCTTATGGTGCACGTTTTTAGAAAGCTTCCCAAGCAATGCAATGATCTCGCTTCCTGAAAAGAAATACATTTCAATAAAGCGCATCAACACTAAGTAACCAATCGTGGACTGTTCAAAAAGCTCCAGCAGAGGAAGATCGTCCGCATTTACAGTAAGAATATTCGGACATTTAAAAACAGAATAATCTTTCCAACATCCGGACATCTTTCTGAGATTCGTACTAACGAAAAAAAAAGTAATTAATAAAAAATCAAAACTTACTACAGCATATACAGTACAGTACTGTATTCAAGCTTCAATATTTAATGAACCAATACAGAACACGTAGTTGAAGGGGTCAAATTAAAGTTTATTCAATCAACTTTGTCCGACTTATGAGGCAGCTCAACCTATTCTGGCTATGCCGCGTTGATTGCGAAAGTTGCCTTGCAAGGCGCTCACTATGCATTGTTGGGTGCATGCAAAAAGTACCAGATAAAATACCGTATTTACAGTAATTTATCTTTCCATAACGAGAATACCTTAATTTAAACTTCTCTTTCAAGCTTCATTGGAGACATTAATGGGATTTTAAAACGTATTTACCTCCAATTTCACAGTCCAGCCAGAGATATTCAACGACTTCAGCGATCGTATCCGAGTGAGAATCTGCACGAAGCACTGAAACGGAAAGTCCGTCATCGTAACATGACTGGAAGATATATCCAAGAGCTGCAAAGAGGTGTTTTCTTGTAGACCGATGACGAGCGGAAATATGTGATCGATTTTCGACAGGCCCTGAACTCTCAAGCTGTCCAAGGAGGAATTGCGATGCAACACTTCCCCGAGGCAAATCACATCGGCTTTCGTCAACGAACAATGCGTAACGTTCAGAGTCTTGAGTCGGCAACATTCATCCTTCAGAACTTGGAAAATCTCATGAAAACCTGGAAGGATAAAAACTCACCATCATCAATTACGAGACAAATTACGTAATTTAAACTCAAAAGCGGGCTAAATCCTCCTGCCGCGCTTTGATCATTAGTTATCCTCCCACCAACACGATAAACTAGACAGTACTGTACTGTGCTGTAAAAGTAAATGCCTTCAAATAAGTTGAGGTCACCGTTGAGAGTTTACATCCTTCAACCATCTTTCGAGCATCGTAAAGAAGGATTTAAGGCATACTTTGTTTCAGCTTTTATGCAGGTACTGGTTCGAAGTGACATTCAGGGAACGCGCAATGGGTTCATAACTATTCATACAGGCTTATGCCCATGCCTGTCGCAAACCCGCAGCGACTCGTCATCGACGAGGGAACGACTAAGGTAAATGTTCCCGGTCTCAGAACAAATCAGATCTCGGAAATTCCCCACCAAGAACAGAGGTCATTGGCTCTTAATAAAAGAGGGGTGCAAATAGTCGACGACGAGTTATACATAGTGAGGCCTCACCCTCACCCTCACGCGCGACACCTAGCGGCGAACCATCGGGTCGTGTCCTTCTCCCACCCACGTGTTCCGCGCGCGCCTTATCGCGACCATGATCTTGGGGGAAGCATGGGACAAGGGATTCTGCGAGACGGTGTGGCGTCACTTCGCTCTTGACTCTTGACAGTGATACTTATACAGTTTTATATCTGACCTTATTGTTGTGGTGCTGTTCTGAATATATAAGATGTGTTTGTGAAGAAGACATGTGTCAAAGTCCCTGTCTCCTGAAAACTCTTACTGGGGGCTCAAGCCACTTTTCCTTCCCGTTATTCGACACCGTAGACACGCCAGCATCCACCATGCCTCAAAATACTGAGAATTCCAAGGCCGCAGCGGCAGCCGCCAAAGCAGCTGAAGTTCTCGCTGAACTCGCCGGAATTGTGGACGAGGACTTTCAAGACACCAAGCCCCAACCTCGGGACCAAAGACCCGCTCCTCAGGCCTCGCCAGCGATCTCCCGTTTGTTGGCAGGAACAACAACCAGCGTGTGGGAGAACCTTCTGCTCACAAGGCTACAATTACTCACTGACGTCTATCATCTCAGACACCCGGAGAGCGCCGCCAAGGTAGACTACGCCGCACAGCTTGACCGTTTCTGCATCCCGATCACCGCTCTGCAGGACCTGTCACGTCATCATGATGCCACTCGACATCAACGTGGGCAGCCTGCTTGGCCGGACGACGGCGCATTGCAGAGACCAGTTTTTCAACCACCTCAATGGCTACTTGACATGCAGACCCCGAATTTGCCAAAGCAGAGGGCAGACGAAACGTTCGAGGATTTTGCAACTTGACTCTGAAATGTCCTTGCCGTAGGATGCATCTCGGATGAACAACGGGTATGCTGCATTCTGAGCAACACCCTACCAAATATCCAAACAACAGCAAACCAGATTTATTGGAGGGGCATCACCAACTTTGACCAACTTGTCGACGCCGTGGCTCGCCGGTTCCCGACTCCACACCTCAATCAACTGAAACGCTTCCGCCAGCTCAAACCCGACTCAGGCGAGAGCTTCTCCAATTTCGGAGAACGATTGCAGGAAGAGTTCAAACTATGCGTCAACCTACCAAAGCCAGAGCTTGACACGGCCGACAACGTCATAAAGTTTATCCTGAAGGAGCAGCTCCTCAATTCCGCCGAAACAGGATTGCGGGATGAGCTCCACAAGAAGTGGTCCAAGAATTGCCACATCACCTGGGACGACTTCGTGGACGTAGCGGAATCATATCGACTCAATCATCCCTCGACCAGTAACGGAAACCATACAGCAAAAACCGGTCCCAGACAAAAGGTCGACCTGCCCCCAAAACAATGGTGCGACTTCCACAAGAAGTCCGTTCGCCACAGCACGCAGGAATGTCGCCTTCGCCTACGCCAAACGGGTTCAGCACAATCAACCAGTGAATCCACGTCATCTCGCCAGGTTAGCAACTCTTTGTCTACATCCGCAGCAAAACCCAATTCTTCCAATTCCGCCGGCCCTACCTGTTTTCATTGTAGCCAAACCGGTCATTATGCAAAAGAGTGCCCGCAAGTACAGGGAAACGCAAAATTGTCACAGTGAACGCGGCTCACTGGTTTGCGACGAATGTGCAAGCCGCACCCCCACCCATTTCAATTTCAATTTGTATTTTGGGATGCTCGCTCTCTGCTTTACTCAATACAGGCGCGTCGCATTCTTTTATTTCAGACGAAATTGTTCATCAATTAGCTTTACTGACCTTGCAGTTACACATGACTGTGAGCACGGCGCTCAGTCCCAAAGCCTCTCGCGTCAGTCACGTCGTCAAGACAGTTTTTCGTTTTCAGAACACCAACCATGCCGGCGCGTTTCTTGTTCTGCCCAGCATGCGCAATTTTCCTGTTATCATGGGCCAAACGATGCAATTACAGTTACCGCTGACAATCACGCTAGATGGCAAAAGTGTCTTCACCGGTTTTCGCAAAGTCATGAGGGCCCCAGCTGCCCCAACACTCCCTGTGGGCAAGGGAATTTCTTTTGTTGACGGAAATCGTCACGAACGCAAACGCGTAGTCCAGATTCTGAAACGCCATGCGCCTCTGATCCAACAATGGTCAGGGTGAAGGGGTCTGTTTGCCAAGGACGTGGTTTGCATCCCCACAATCGAGGCACCCCCGCCGGCAGCCCGCCAATTCCAACATTCCGTTGAACGCAACGCACCATTTGAGGAAATCATCGACGCCTACCTTGAAGCAGGAATACTGGAGTGCACTGCATCACCCTACAACGCGCCCGCTTTTCTAGTCAACAAGAAGTGTTTGGACCCAAACGCACCCGCCGAGAAGCGTTTTTGTCTTGTTGAGGATTACTGCGAACTCAACAAACTAATTATGCCTGACAATTACCCAATGCCTACCATCCAGGAACTTCTGGAGGCGCTGGGCCGGATTAACCTTTTCTTCTGTACTTCAGATTTGCACGCAGGTTACCATCACCTGCCAATCGCGCAGGAGGACAGGCCAAAAACTGCATTCATGTCACCAAGGGGACAGGTGCAATACAAAGTGCTCCCCTTTGGTCTGAAAACGGGGCCTGCCCTCTTCCAAAAGACAATTAATACCATTCTTAGACCTTTACTTTTCAGACGGTGCTTAGCCTACGTTGACGATGTGATCATCTTCAGGGAAACCTTTGACGTCCTCTGCAAGAACCTCGACATAGTGCTACGAACCCTTCAAGAGGCTGGCGCCTGCGTCGACATTGTCAAGTTGTCATTCCTTGCCCACAAGACCCTGTTCCTGGGCCACAAGGTCGACCAAACGGGCATCCGCCCAGCTGAATGAAACGTCGACGCTGTGATGAGGTATCCAAAACCAGAGACATGCTGGCAGATGCAGCAGTTTCTTGGGATGGCCTTGTACCTGCGGTCACACCTGCCGACAAACTTTGCCGAGTCAGAGAAGGCCCTTTGCCTAAAAATCCCGCCCAAGCCAGCCACAAGAATCCTTTGGTCCCCCACAGCTGAGCAAGCATTTGAACACATCAAGCGTGTCCTCGCTGACACCACTTGTCTCAAACGCGTTGACCACACCTGGCCCATCGCCGTCCATTGTGACGCATCCGCAATCTCCCTTGGTGCCGTGCTTGTCCAGTCAGACCCAGACGGCAATGAACGTGTCATCAAATATGCAAGTCAGACGCTAAAGGACGCCAAAACACGCTACTCCAATACTGAACATGAGTTATTAGCTATAGTCTGGAGCGTGACAAAGAAATTCTGCCATCACCTCGTCCATCGTAAGTTTCGTGTGTACACCAATCATAAAGCATTACTAGGACGGCTCCAATCCAAAAGGCTAATCAGTTTACAGGCCAAACTTGCGACCTTCGATTTCAAACTAGTCCATTGGGCCGGGAAGGCCCTTCAAGCACCTGACGCCCTCAGCTGCATTTCACTGAACTATGCCACAGCCCGCACGCAACTTTGGGAGGAAGACCACATTGCCATCATCGACGCATACCACGCCAAATTGGGACACGCCGGGTGGAAGAAGGTATTGACAATGCTTTGCGATCAATTTGAGTGGCCAAAAATGCAACAAGATGTATGGAAACGCATTTTAGCATGTGAGTTATGTTTTAAATATAATCAACCCACTCAGCTGATAGGCACCCACATGAGTGCCGTCGAATCCAACTGTCCGCGGGAACGTCTGGTCCTTGACTTCTAAGGGCCCCTCCCAAAGACAAAAGAGAACTTCAGGTATGCTATAGTAGCTGTTGACCATTTCAGCAAATACATGGTCGCACAGCCGATCATAGCCGCCGACTCTCAAACCGTCATACCCTTCCTGGCAGAGGTTTTCCGCCAATACTGTCTTTTTGAAATAATTCATTCCAACTGCCACTCCGTGTTTACAGGTCACGCCTTCTGTCACTTCCTCAAGGGCAACAACATCAAACAACACGTGGCCCAAGCGACACACTCAGAAGGGAACGGGTGTTGCAAAAGGTCAATCAAGACGTTGGCGCAGATTCAAGCCAAGGCAGTCTAGGGTGACAACATCACTTGGGCCACGAACCTGCAAACCTTGGTGAAGGCCTACAACAGCACCGTCCATTCCGCAACTGGTGTCACACCCACCGAGGCCATGTTCGGCCGACACACCATACTAGACGCAGACCATACCTTCGGCGCAACCTTACCCGAAGAGGAAATTTCTCTCAACATCCTTCAACAGCGTTCCCAGCTACATTGCAACCAGTTCATAGCCCAAGCAAATAAGCACAAGCTACCCCACTTCCAACCAGGCAACTTCATAGCAATATTCCCTCGGCTACCCACGGTGGAGAAGCATGCAGCGAACCGCCGCTTCAGGCCACAGCGCATCGGGCCATTCATGATCATCTTGTACCAGGGCGACGGCGAGTACTACGTCGGGGCCAGACCCGACGTCCAAAGGGCCAATGCATGGGAAATGGTCCCCTACCGGGGACTGCCTAGTCCACCCAAC